ACACACCCGCGCACACACCACCCTATTTTTATCACTGAAGGTAGGCTTAATAACAGAAACACTTCTGTATAATGTAATATACACTACATCCTCCACGGTGATCAATTGAATCAACAACTGTCTAAAACTATATTAATAATACATTGCAAACTGAGTGTTAGTAATTATCAGGTGTATGCTCAGGCTCCAAAGTGCCTAACTACAATTAATTGGTTGATTTCGTTGCTGTTCTCACCTGGTAACTGATATATCTGGTAACCTTAATTTTATCATTTTATCATATATTATTATTATCACCCTATAACATGTTTTACCCCTCTCTCATTACATTTTCAAATGTAACGCAAAAACACGTTTACTCAACATTTTAACTGACTTACTTTGTTCTTTTATCTGAGGAGATTTTTACACAGGGATTTACTACTACTGATATCTTTTCAGTAATAGTAGAGACACTGTTCACATGTTGATGTGCTGATGTGCTGACGTCAGTGTGGTGTCCCATCTGCAGTCAGTTTCTGTTACTGGTAGAGTTTATTTATGCTCTGTCTGAACACAGTTAATGTTGTTGTTTCCTTTCTTGCTGTTATCACAGGCTCTAACTACCTGCTGTACATTTAAACTCAGCAGTTGTTTACATGCTGTTCAGATCTGCTAGTTACTTTAGCTTAGCAGTTAGCACTAGCTTCTCCCTCTCTCTCGCTCGCTCAGTGTGGTGTTATTGTAACTTCAGCATAGAGGATTGTGATATTTACTACATCTTCTGTGATGTCTGCTGTTGTTAGTCACAGCTCTGCTAACGGGACTAAAATTACTATAATTAATAATGGTGATTATTAATGTTATTAGCTGTCATTACTATTTTTATCAGTATGAGCACTACAGTTGCCATTACATTATTATTCCTGTAATGTACCATTTCTTGTTCTTTTCCTCTGTGCTCTCTTGCTCTCTCTCTTGCTCTTTCTCTATATATATATATCTCTCCAACCCAACTGGTCGAGGGAGATGGCCGCCCACCCTCAGTACGGTTCTGCTCGAGGTTTCTGCCTCTTAAAAGGAAGTCTTTCCTTGACGCTGTCGCCTAGTGCTTGCTCTTTGTGGGAATTGTTGGGTCTCTGTAAATAATATTATAAAGAGAAGGTCTAAATATGCTCTATTTGGAAAGTGCCTCGAGATAACTTATATCGTAAATTGGCGCTATACAAATAAAAATTGATTTGACTTGACTTGACTAACCATAGCTAACTGCGAACTCTAACTGCCATCCCTGAAAATTTTCGTCAGAAAAAGTAAGACAAGCTCTTTTAAATCCCAAAATTTTCAAGCTTGACTAACAATTTTTAAATAAAAAATGTAGAGATTTTCTTTTTTGTCCTGCATCACCCAGTTTTGGTCTCATTCTGATATCTTTTACGAAATGATGGGAGTACCCTCCACCTCTCCCATTGACTGCAATACAAATTCAGGAGCATGTGTTACTGAGCAGAAATGGGCAAAGCCGATTCTGAGTGGCTAATTAAACCCATTAATTCTTAGCCTTTTAACTCAGGTATGAGAGCAACTGTAAGATAAATTAACACTGTATATTTGCATGCATTTGCATGTATTTGCATGTATTTGCGTGTACTTGTGTGTGCATATTGATCTTTCTATAATTGTGAGGACAATTTTGGTTAAAAACCATTATTGTGAGGTCATTTTTGCCAGTCCTGACAAATTCAAAGGGCTGTTTGAAGGTTAAGTTTAAGCAGTTCCCAACACCATGCATACACATACATTGAAAGACACACAAACTCCATCACCATCATATGGATATTGACTGTATAAGTGTCTCAACCTGGTAACAGAAACTTATTGGAGGCTCTATGGTAGACAGCTCTACTACCACACAACAATACACACGCATATTGACAGACACACACAAACACCATCTTACTTTCTTGATATACACCTTCAAAATAAGAGTCTCAACTTAAGTTGTGTTGTGTTGGGAAGCTCTACTGTTACACACAAACACACACACACACACACACACACACACACACACACACACTGACAGAAACACAGAAACACCATCGCCACAATTTGGATTAACCTTCAAAATAAAAGTCTCCACATGGTAAGAGGGAATTATTGGCTCTTTTGTACAAAACCTACTGCCAAACACAGAAGCACAGACACATTTCAAAATAAGAGTCTTAAAAAGGGCAAGGCTATCTATCTATCTCTTCAACAAACAAACATACACACAGAGAGAGTGTGGGAGTGGGAGAGGGAGAGGGAGAGGGAGAGAGAGAGAGAGACAGAGAGAGAGAGAGAGAAAATAGCAGAATTGGGTTTATGTTCAGGGCTGCCCGAGAGCACTGTACAGCGTGGGAGGGGATTCTGGGAGATGAGCTCAATAAAAGACTAAATGAAAATGAAAATAAAAAGAGACAGAGACAAAGATCTTAGAGGTTAAATGCATAAAAGCACCATAAATAAAAAATACACAAGAAAGAAGAACACAGATCTAACACTACTATATAACTAATCCTTCCATTTAATGTAGTTTTATTTGTATTTCTTTATATTGATTTTGAAGGGGTTCCCACCACTAGTCCATTACTGTCATTCACCCTCCATTGGTATTAATGACCTCTGATCACCATAATCCTTGTTATTAATGTCGTGTGTTGGTGTAGGTTGACTTAAGCAGCACCTCTACAGGAAGAACTGGCTCCACTCTGGCCCCTGTGGTTTAATTAGTCTCATTTTGAACAATCCATGTTCACCCTGCAGAAGAACAGTTGTGTCCAGTCCTGCAGATTTCCTACAATCTGAATTAAAGGAGAAGAGTCAGTGGTGATACGTCAGGGACTGGTGTTAGGACACAGAATAATAAAGAGGAACACACCGATGCACACTCAGGTCCCTGCGTGACATTAAACCATGTTAAATGCAGTAAACTTCTTCCTCAGCAGTAACATTAGGTAAAAGAGAGAAAACATAACGAGTTGAATGGTCCAGCTCCACTGAGAGATAACGAACTAGAGTAAATACATACAGAGGTTTATGTGTGACTCCTATGAACTTTTCTTTCTTCATCTTCCTTCCTTTGCACCTTCCTCTCTCTCCTTTACCCCCCCTCTTTCATCTTGATCCTCTTCAACCTCCTCATCCTCCTTCCTCTGAGACTGTGAGGTCATTCACTCTGTTGCTTTCGTAATTAGTCCCTATCTCCCTCAGTCATTTGTTATCGTTTTCAAACAGCGTTTCCACATTGACACACACTTACACACACAGCCTGCTGTTAATAGGGCCATTTGAAGAGAGCATCCACACACACACACACACACACACACACACACACACACACACACACACACACACACAGTCTCTACATCATTTCTCTGTTACCTGCTGAGTCATATATTCACAGCCCAGACTCACATGACGAGGTCACCTCAGGTCATTACTGATAACAGTCTCAGTAACATCACTGACCATCACTTTGTAAGACATGACTACAAACTACATAAGCCTACATGTAAGGTCAATAGCCCCACCTGGTGATTTTAGGTGTCATAACAAGACACCTACTTATATGTGACTGAATTTACAGGTGTTACAGGTATTATTCTATGATAAATATGTATGTAATATCAAATATGTAATATTTTATTTTATTTTTCCAGTTCCAGTTTCTCAAATGAAAGGTTTTCTACTGACTGAGGATGTGAGGACCTGAAGTCACTGTGTCGCACCATGGGTGTTTTTCCCATCACTCCCTGGGAATCTTGATCAGATGTCTGAAGTTAGGAAGCTTGGGAAGAACTGGTTCATACAACGTGTTGTCTGACCATGTTGGAAGGTAAATCTGTTCATGTTGTGTGCTAAAACAGAACACTTTCAGACAGTCTCTCCTGACAACCATTCTTAGTTTACAGAAAATGTTCTACTGAAATACATTTCAGCCTTCTGTATCTGTAACCTTGCTCTGTGGGTCACTGCCAAAAGCTCATGACCACAGGTGATGGTTGAACCAGTAAATCATGAGCTTCACATGCAGACTCAGCTCAGAATGAGCCTTGAACCTATGATATGAAACCAGCTCTGTCCATAGATCAGACTTCACCTGCTCCACACACTGCTTCGTTCTAGATGCTCTGACTCTAAAATATGAAACACTGACACAGACACAACCTGCAGATAAAACTCTCAGTGATGTCAACTTTCCTCTGCAATTACTACAGTCTCGAGTTTTGAAGCAGTAAAAACAGAAACAAATGTTCCTTCTGTCAATGACACTGAGGAATTGTCACTGTTAGAGCATCACAGTTTCCATGTTACCAATGGCAACAGATGGATACACAGAGAGAGCTGCTGAGGAAAACATGAAGGTTACACTGACAAATATAGCCCCCCCCCCCGGCTGTGGTTGAAGATGATTCCACTATCAATGAACCTGCATGCGTGTGTGCGTGCATCTACTGTCTTAATTGCTTGGCCCGTTTCTCATTCACTGTCCAGATCAATACCACAGCTTCAACACTACATACAAAACACAATCAATCTCTCTCTTTGTCTGTTCTCAGACACACACACATACACACACACACACACACACACACACACACACACACACACACACACACACACACACACACACACACACACACACACAGCCAACAGTGTTCTGGAAAGACAAGATCAGAGCACAAACTCCTTACATATAAAGAGAAGTCATCAGTATGTGTGCATGGAAGTGACTGCACAAACTTTCTGTTTCATAGCGACCTGGAATTTAAAGGATGATTCAGTTCTGTTACAGTTCAGGGGAATACAATATGATAACTGATGGAAATGATGAACTAAACTGGGTTGTAAAAAAGTAGCTTCGTAGTTGGAAAAACTGAATTACAGGCAACAGGACGAGAGGGCAGCTGCTGCTGGTGGAAACAGATTCTGCTCAGCTTGGTGAAAGCACTGGGACGTCTGACAGAAGTGGTGCCCACCTTGTTTCTCTCAAACAACTCGCTCTGGATGACCTTGAGGTCCGTGTCAAGAGCGGAGGTGGCCTGCCGGCGTTTCTTGGCCAGCTGCTCCTCCAGGTCTTCAGCCTGAGCCCTCAGCTTCTTGTTGTCCCTCTCCAATGTCAGTTTCTCCGTTTCCAAACGTTCCCTGCGCCCCCACTCTGCAGCATTCTCTACTTGCAGTCTTTCCATCTGAGAGAAACACAAAGAGAAGAGGAGGCTGAGGACACTCACATGATAACTGTGGTGTAGCTGTACCAATCACTGCTGGTGATTATATATAAGTTAGAGAAGGAGCTGTGCTCCCTCAAATACCAGAACAGGACTGTAGTTATACAGGACAGCGAATGTAGATGTTTTTAAAGGCTGTGAAATCCGACTTCATACTAATTTTTATGATGAAGGTAGAGCACTGCTGCCCCGACCTCTTTGATTTGAAAGTCAATGTTTTTATCACCAGATCGAAAGAAGTTATTATGTAAAACACTTTATACTTACCTTCCAGATGTGTTGCCAGGACGATTGTATTGTCACAGCAGCAGCTGTGTTCATTTCTGCCTTCCTCCGTTCGTTGCAAAAAAAAAAATCTGTAAAGCTCCTGGTGACACTAACAACATTTCCTGTATGTTTCACAATAAATATATTTTAAGAGGCAATAGTGGGTCTTTTACTATGAAACACCCAGAGAAAATAACACTGGCTATTGGTACCTAACTAACACTTGACTCATCACTCAGTAAAACTGGATGAATAGTTGATGTGAGGGGTGAAGAAGAGACCCACCACATGTAGACTGAAAGTCAGATTTGACCTGCTGATATATCCTCCACATATATGATCCATAGATTCAGATATGATCAGACTGTATCAACACCTGTACACTTGCTTATTCATGCAATTATCCAATCAGTTAATCGCGTGGCAGCAGTGCAATGTATACAATCCTGCAGATACAGTTAATATTCACACGCAATCATATCAACATGGAGCAGAGTCTCAGAGGAAAGGTTCAACATCTAGTGGATCCATGACATGAAGAACTGAGGAACCCTTCCTAATAAAGTGCTCAGTGAATGTATAACATTGTTTTATGGTGTAGAGCAGTGATCACTGTTTAGATGTCTCTCCATCAGCATCTATGAGGACTGATACCAATGAACCTCTACAGGTACACTAATAAAAAAAAAACTCCATACACAGGTGATGTGATTAAATTCAGGGCAGAAGTTTGACAAACTGTTCCTGTTATAATTATTCAGTAAGTGTTTTACTTTACACATTAGTCATAAATCATGAACCTCTCAATCTGCTGTTCTTACTGTACATACCCAGCTGTGATGTGCTTTTGTACAGTAGTGACAATAGTGAGACAGATCATGTAGCAGCCACTAGATGGCAGTCTAAACAAGCTCAGTAGACTGGGTGTAGTTACTATTTCATGGAAATATATGTAGTAGTAATGAAATGACGTACTGACTGCTTTGACAAAAAGAAGGCAACAAATGACACTGAATATAGATTTTAAAAAAAGCTAATACAGGAAAACGGATGTGTGTTCAGTTTGTGAGGTGCTGACATTCAGTCTGTACCTGCCCACCCTCCATCCATCACCCCACCCTCCCGGTCTTTTCTCTGCTGTTAACTACTCCCCCTGCCCCTGGATCTGTGTCCTAACCTCAGCTCGTAGTTCAGCCAGTTTCTTGTCCATGCTGGTCCGGGCTCCAAGTTCGTCCTCTAGGTCTTCAGACATGCGGCCGAGTTCATCCTGGTGCATTTCCTTCAGCAGGTTCAGCTGGTGTTAGGAAGAGAGGGGAGAAGAGAAAACCTCAAATAGCTGGATGTTGCATTTTTCATTGTTGTCTCAAAGGACAATGAGGAGCACTGAAATCAGCAACATTAAACCATATGAAATTCACCTTCCTTAAACTCTACAAACAGCAAACAAGTGCTGGAGTGAAGGTTTGAGGATCCACATCAATATCTCTATATGTAAATTAAATGCTGCTGATCAAATGCACACATAATATGCAAACCTGCCAACACAGCATTTTCCCTGGGAATCTCCTGTATTTCAAGGTGATCTCCTGGCACCTTCCCTCCCCTTCTGTTGTTTCTCCAAGGGAGCTCCTGTAATTTTCATGGCCCTCAACCTTTTAAAAATAATCATTACACACAGATCCATACGTTTTGTATGTTTGTTTGATGTTATCCAAGTTGCTAGATTGTGTATGAAACACAAGCTCAACCAAGTGTGATACAATATTTTGAGACCTAAATGTTGGCAGGTATGACTATCTATCAGGTATTTGTACTGAATCTTACATACATACTCCCTGAAAAACTAAACTAATCATTGTTGAATCTGAGACACCAACCAGAGACCATTGAGACTGGAAAATAAATTCAATTAAATTTCAATTAAATTTTTTTGTATAGTGCCAAATCATAATATATATTATCTCATGGCACTTTACTGGGTAAGGTCGAGACTTTACTTTCTTACAGAGAGAAACCCAACAGTTCCCACAAAGAGCAAGCACTTGGCGACAGGGGGGGAGGAAAAAGTCCTTTTAACAGGAAGACACCTCCAACAGAACCAGGCTCAGGGTGGGCGGCCGTCTGCCTCGACCGGTTGGGTTTGAGACGAAAAAGAGGGGGTGGGGGAGGAGAGAGAGGGACCATATATATACTGTTTATGATATTATTATTATTATCATTATTATTATTATTAGTGTTGTAGTGGCAAATCTTGATTCTGCTGCTCCAAAACAGAGAGCCCTGCAGAATGAGGACAGAGACGCTCAGTGCATCATGGGAATCCCCCAGCAGTCTAGGTCTATAGCAGCTTAACAAAGAGATGGACCCCCTTGAGCCAGCCCTAACTATAAGCCCTATCAAAGAGCACAGTTTTAAGCCTGATCTGGGTGTCTGCCTCCCGAACCCAGACTGGCAAGGACTAGTTTTTTAGCATCCTTTAGAAGACAGGACAGTTTCTAATTTTCATAATGCTGCACAAGTGGAAGAAGACTATCCTAGAGACTTGTTTTATGTGTGAAGTAAAACACATGTCCTGGTCAAAATGACCCCAAGATTTCTGACTGTATCACTGGAGGCGAAGGTAATGCCATTCAGAGTAAGTATATTATTAGGTAGTGTGTCTCTGAGGTGTTTAGGACCAAGTACAATAACTTTTTAGTTTTGTCTGAGTTAAGAAGTAAAAAATGCTGGTCATCCCGGTCTTTATGTCTTTAAAGGTATAATCTGTTAGATTGTGCTACTTGCTCCACCTTCATAGGGGGCAGCTTTTCACTCTTTTCCCCTGTCCAGTGAATCATGTTGTTGTTTTCCCCATGTTCCTTATAATTTATTATTTATATGTGCATTTATTGTTGATAGTTAAAATTGTTGCGAGCACTGAAACAAATTATGAATACTTGTAATACAAACAGTATGTTTTTATTTACCTATAAAAATATGAAGGCAAGGGGATACTGCATTCCACATGGATGTCAGGCTACAGCAGCATGAGGAAGGGATGATGACATCATCACAAAGGCAGAATCAGAAAAAAAGGTTTATTGCCAGGAAGGTTTTTACTTACAAGATATTTGGCTTGGTGTTTGGTGCAGTATCCAATAAACATATTAACAGGAAATAACAATAAAAAGGTAAAATACTGCAAGAGTCAAAAAAATAAATATACATAGATACACATATTAAAAAAATAAAACGATGAAAAAAACTATGTACAAAAGTGTTGACAAAACTCCTGCTGAGCAGGATGTGCAAAAGATCACAGTATAGACAATATCTGTTTTGTGCAGGGATAATACTCTGGTGTAAAGGTGTTACTGTAATGTGGTTGTTGATTGATGAGGCCAGACACAGAAGAAAAAGCAGATGCTGGTCCATCACTGGGGAGGACTGGACTGGAATTCTGTCCTGATACAGACAAACAGGACAATTAGTTTAGAACATACAAGTTCTTTATATTCAAACATGTTATGTTTGTTTTGTGTGTATAATAAATAGTAAGGATAGATATGAATATGAATATGAATATGCTAAAATAAATACAGTATTAGGCAGTGGATCCTGCACCTGCTGGTTCTGGACCAAACAGTCTCACTTGTTAAAGAAAAGTTACAGACGCATCTAGCTGGACAGCCGCAGGAACAGGCTAAATTCTACAACATCGCTAAAACTTCTGTCGACAACATCAATCATACATTTATACCATTTGAAGTGTTTGTCAGTACGGTTTTTCATTTGCAGTAATGATACCTTTCGCTATAGACCAACATTAGATGTTACTCACCAGTCTAAAAGAATAGTTGCAAGCTCGACATCAAGCCGCGTCTCTCTACTCGCCCGGAGCTGTCACCAGTGGTGGAAAACCACACCAGCTTCACCCGTGTTTTGCTTCTTTGCCGTTGAACGTGGTTTCTTTTCAGAGTGGTTCTTTGGGATGGAGATTAAGATCGCTTTCTAAGCACTTCAGCCATCTCTGCGTTTCTGTGATGCTCGTCGGCAGCTTTTTTTTTTTTTTTTTTTGGAGCTGTAGCTAACTTCAAGCTCAGGAGGAAGTTCTTGTTCTCCGTGGGACTGAGGGCAGACTAGACGCTACACTGACTCACACAGCATCTAGTGTGTCTAGGTGGTATTAAAACAAGGCCCGGGTCGGGGCTAGTTGGTTAGCATGCTCATTTCAGTAGATTTCTCTGAAATACAATAGATGGTAGTCTTGGTCATGACATCATCACTGTGGCTCCTTCACATACTATTGATAGTGTTAGTTAATTTTTTGAACATTTTAAAGTAAAATTCTGGCCAGATAAGTACAGCTGGATGTTGTCTGCATAACAATGGAAATTTACCTGGTGCTCCCTGATAATATTCCCTAAAGGAAGCATATATAGGGTGTAAAGTATTGGTCCTAGCACAGAACCTTGTGGAACATGACTAACTTTTGTGTGCATAGAAGAGTCATTATTAACATGAATAAACTGGAATCTATCTGATAAGTATGACTCAAACCAGCCAAGTGCAATTCCTTTAATGCCAATGACATGTTCTAGTCTCTGCAATAAGATCCTGTGATCGATGGTGTCAAATGCAGAGCTAAGATCTAGTAGGACAAGTATAGAGTCCATTGTCTGAGGCCCTGAGGAGATAATTAGTAACTTTAACCAGAGCTGTTTCTGTGCTATGATGGACTCTAAATCCTGACAGAAAGTCTTCAAGCAGACCACTTTTCGCCAAATAATCACATAACTGGTTAACAAGCACTTTTTCACTGATTTCAAATAAAGGGGAGGTTGGATATAGGTCTGTAACTGGCTAAAATATCTGGATCAAGAGTAGGATTTTTAAGTAAAGGTTTAATTACTGCAACCTTAAAAGCCTGTGGTAGATAACCTGCTGATAATGGTAGGTTGATCAGACCTAGAATAGAAGTGTTGATTAGAGGAAAAACATCTTTGAACATCCTCGTTGGAATAGGTACTATAAGACAAGTTGATGGTTAAGATTTAGAACTGTTGAAGTTTGCCCAGAGAGATCTACAACAGAGAAGCAGTCTAAATATAAACCACTTACTGTTGACTCTGGTGCTACGGACAGTACATCTGAGTCAGCTGTGGGGAGGATATGGTGAATAAAGAAGCTCATAAAGTCACTGCTACTGACACTTAAAGGAATAGACGGCTCAATAGAGCTGTGACTGTCTGTCAGCCTGGCTACAGGGCTGAACAGAAACCTGGGGTTGTTTTGCTTTAGAGCACGGGTTTCTGAGTTGTACCATAGAGATAGCCTCCTCTGATTCACTACCTTCTTTCTCAGAGGAACCACAGTGTCTAGTGTTGTATGTAATGAGGCTGCAGTACTGTCAACAACATCATCAACTTGATGATTGATGATCAACGTGTTGAGATAGCTGTCCTCCATTGTGGTGACACATGGCAGAAGACCAAATACCAATAGGATTCTTTCTTTAAATTTGATTACAGTATTGTCAGATAGATACATGCTGTGATGGTTTTTTTCCCAAATGCTGTAATATCTATTACTGTGAACTCAAATGTTAATATAAAATGGTCAGATGAAAGAGGGTTTTGGGGAAATATTGTTGTTGTCAACTTGCATTAACTGAGTTAGGCAAACTCGGATCCCATCAAATTTCATGAACATCCCAGGACCTCAATGTTGAAATGGCCCTACGTTCAGCACCTATGGAGCCCGCTGGACAAGCCGTAGCCGTGACCCCACTGGAGGAACTGGTAACGTAGAGAGTTGGGGACATACAATCTGCCAGGAGGACCATTACCTGGGTCTTGTTGGGTGCGTTGAGCATCCTTGATCATAGATTCTATCTCCCATGTGACAGCCCCAACAACACAGGTAGTAGGTAGAATGGTGTCTGGACTGGAAACGACGTCTTCAGGGGCAAACTGGCGGGAGAGGGCATCAGACTTACTATTCTTGAAGCCTGGGCGATAGGTAAGGATGAAGCTGAAGTGATCAAAGAATAAGGCCAAGCAGGCTTGACGGAAATTTAACCTCTTGGCATTCTGGATATAAACTAGATTCTTATGATTAGTCCACACAATGAATGGTTGTTCAGCCCCCTCAGGCCAATGCTTATATTCCTCCAGAGCCAGTTTTACTGCGAGAAGCTCATGGTTTCCCACGTCATAGTTTCGTTCTGCAGGAGAAAGGCAATGGGAAAAAAAAGCACAAGGATGAAGCTTTTGAGGAGCTGCACTTTGAGAGAGGACTGCCCCAACCCCTGAA